ATGATGTGATATTTTTGTTAAGCACTTTGGTAACAGTTTCTGTTTTAAATGTGCTCTATAAATAAATCTGACTTGACTTGACTTGACTAACTTTGAAACTTATCCATCATTAATAAAACTTACCTCAAATTGCCTTTTTGGACATGCATGCATAGATTTGTACAAATTGTACTTGAGAGGAAATTATTACAGCCTCATATAAAATCTATAATGATGATGATATCGGAATAGGATCTGTATCGGCCGATATCCAGATTTAGGTATCGGGATCGGATCGGAAGTTTTAAAAATGTGGATCGGTGCATCCCTGTTACAAACAATAGATTATAGGAAGTGCATCACCGTGATTAGAGCTATCGTTTCTCAGTGAAAAGGATGCAGGTTTGCATCATAGCCTGAGGCTTTTTTGGATATATTTGCATGTTCTCCTTGAATACATATGTATTTTTCTGATAACTATGGTTTCCTCATAAAAATCACGCATGTTTAGCTAATTGGTAAGTAATTTGTCCTTATGTGAGGGTGAAAGTGTGGATGGTTGTTTTTCTTTATGTGTCTCTGGGATGGACTTGTGACTTGTTCAGGGTGTCCCCCGACTATCAAACAGTGACTTCTGGCACCAGCTCTTCAAGACCCAGAAAGTTAAAGCGGGTAAAGAAAACGGACAGGAATCAGTTGTAGCCCAGGTCAGAAAAAGATTAATGACGGGTGGCTGTGGTTGGTTTGCTCATCAAAGAGCATAGGTTGTAAGAAAATTGGGGACAAAAGTATCCTCACTTTGGAAGAAGTCAAATCATCTGACAAAATTAAAACAGTTTAATCTTAAATCTTTTTTTTTTTTGTACCCACCTGAGTTTTCAGCTAGTCGCAGCTTTCCACAACAGAGGTATGTTCTCCACTGCCTGCGAACATTTTCCTTTACAGCGCAGTGAAAAACAAAGACAAAGAAACCTACACCGAACAGTTAAACAAAGAGAAAAAGATTTATTGTTAGTATAATTAAAAATATATAATTAGTCCATTATAAACTCATGCTTACTAAAATCTCTAATTTTGAAGTGTAATTATTTTAATCATTTCTGACCTTGCAGAGAGTTAAATATGGAGAAAAGATAAACAAAGGGTAGATAGAGGTCCCCCCAGGCAAACAGTGCAAACCCCCAGGTGAGGCCGAGCAGGATCACTAGACTGATGATGCTGCGCATGTCTGTGACCAAGCCCCTCTTTGGAGTGTAGTTGTGAGGATTCTGTTTCTTAATTCTGTTCAGCTGAACCATAACAACAATGAAGACCACCAGACACAGAACAAAGACCATGAGGAAGTAGGCGACCACACCCACGTAGAAGGCAATGTCGTCACGCAGCCAGCAGCTACAAGGGGACGACAGAGAAAAGACACATTTATAAATTCAGCTAATTAATTATTCATTATGATGTGTTGATAAAACTGATTTATTTTTTCAGTAAATCATCTTTAAAGATTTGTGCAACTAATATATAATCTTTTTGGTTAAGCATTTTTATTTATGTGGTGTTGCTCACACTGGGTGCCTGCTGAAGTAATCTGTGGCGTTACAACTTTGCGCCCCATAACAATAATAACTTTTAATTCATTTTCACACAGTTGTTAGGGTTGGTGAAGAAGCTAGTTTTAGATCTGTCGCAATAAACAATAAAACAATGAATCACATGAAAAATGAAAGTTATTGACCTCATTTTCATTTATCGGCTTTATCGCTTCTTCGTGTCTCTCTCTTTCTACTGAAGACACTGGATGACAAAAGGCTCAACACCGATGCTCTTCACTGACCCCTCCATTTCTCTTTAAAATCCATTTTAACCATTCAAAATTGCGTTTTTGGATCGTTAAAGGCAGCTAAGCTGAGAAGCTAAGCTATGAGCTAAGATAACAGGCCGACCTCGGGAAAAAATCTGTCTTGTCGAAGCTCCAAGATTTACGGTTGAAACCCGTGCCTTTGTGTAAAAAGTTGTTTTTCTCTGCAAAAAGAAGCAGAGAACTTGTTTACTGATTTATTTATTTTTATTAACAGCTTTCTGTGAAAAATGCTACGCTAAAGAGCTCAAACCACACTGAGCATCCGCCATTTTGAGAACCGAAAAAAGGAAGGAGAGTCAGCCCATTTCATGTCAAGGGGCCTCCCTCCCATTTTTCTTTAAAAGACACGCTGCTCTCTCCATCACTATCCATCCTTCGGTTCAAACAGTCTTATACTGCCATCTGGTGGTCAAAAAAGATACTACACACAAAAATTAACCAACATTTCTTCTTAAATTTTACAATAATCACAAATTATTGTCAAATTTCAAACAATATTATCGTTTATCGCAATAATTTCTGAGACAATTAATCACCCAGCAAAATTTGTTATCGTGACAGGCTTAGCTAGTTTACAGTTCATCGCTATGTTTTGACATTTGATTTTATTCAAATATCTATTTTCATTTACCCACCTTTCAATGCAAAGACTTGAGAGATGATATGCATCTCTGGCAGTAATTGAGCAAGAGGCAGCAGATATTTACAAAAGTTCCTTTAAATGTAACTGAGGAAGAAACAAGCATCAATAATCCTGTCTCACATATTTTGTTGTTGTTGTTGTTGTTGTTCTTGTTTTTATCGAAGTCCTTGGCTATAACTTTACTAATGTGGGGTTTTTTTTTGTATGTGAATGTTTCTGTACAGGACCCTGACACAACTTCTGTTGTGACTTGGTGCTTTTTAAATAAACTTGATTTGGAAAAAAAAATAAAACAGCTAAATGCTGAGCATCTTACAAGTCATCGGTCGTTCCATCAATGTATCTTGCATATGTAACCAATCCATAATTGTTCTTATCCACCGCTATGACAACGATCACCACAATCAGAGGAATACCTGCAAACAATAAAATTCAAACAATAAAAAAAATACTAAATTAGATTAGACTACAGATTAGAGTCCACGTTTAGTATTTTTGTAAGAAGGTTCGTACCCCAGCCCATCAGTGAGAACTTCAGCATGTATCTGCTCAGGTAAGGTGTGAACACTCGCACAATGCTCAGGTACATGTGCAAGGCCTCAAGCCCCGCCCAGGTGAATGTTGTCAACAGGAAGTAGTGCAGGAAGAAGGCGGTGCTGATACACAGACCCACAGATGAGTATGTGGACAGCCATCCATTCATCAGGAAGACCAGGTTGAGGAGGAGGATGGACATGCAGAGCTGGACCAGGATCTTAGCTGGAATATCTCTGAGCAGCTTTCTGCAAGGATTGAAACATTTACTATTATATCCAGAAGGAAAGGCCGACATGTTGGCTCATTTTGTGCATTTTAAAATTAGCAGTTTTTATATATCAAACCTTAAAATACCAACTTAAATCAAAATGTAACACTGTATTGTGCAAATCAGAATCAGGTAGATTACAAGGTATATAGTTGGAACGTACTTAAATAAGAGATATGTCACCAGGGTCAAAGCTAGAAAAATACAAGAAATTCCACAGCCAACGTAGGTGATGAAAGTCAAAATTTGTTCTTGCTTTTGATCATCTACTTCATGCCTGGACAAATCCTGTGTTGAAGTGGAGACAAACACAATTTATTAAACACAAATGTAAACAAAATTTTTTAATATTAATTAAAATATATCAGATTGCTCGTCCTTACTTTCAATAATTTCAGTTCTTAAAAAAAAAAAAGTTGTAATTCTGATCAGGAGAAGACTTACTGACATTTCTACTTTTTTTTTTCTCACAGCATCAAACATGCAGAATAAATACCAGAAGAATTGCAAAAGACGTCAGGTGGTTGCAGCTGCAGTTTGTGTACTCAGGAGTGGCGCTGACAACAAAGCATCCGTCAGATCTCCAGCCTCCTCTGCCCCCTAAAAAGAAGAAACGCAATGTTAGAAAAGTATTTGAAGACATTGAGGCCAACCTTAGAGCTAAAATTCAAAAAGTTATAATTTTGTTTTTCTTCTCATCCGGGAAGCTTTTTAAATTAAAACTAAAAGGCACCAGCAATAAAGACTAGAAAAAACACCAATTAACAGTGGAAGAGACTCCTTTTTTAAATTTTCAGAATCTACAATGCAGTTTTGACATTAATACCTACTTGCTTAAGACCAATCTGTGCCTTTTAGATATTTAACTTTTTTTAATTTTGCAGTTTGAAATTCTAAAACTTTACATTTGAGTTGAAAAGTTTCTCAGATGAGACGCAAAATGTCTTCAAAAAACAGGATGGGAAATCCAAATAATAATGAAAAAAATCAAAATAATCAAAATCATTAGGTCCTGGAAGACAAACATATAAACCCTAACAGACCCACATGTTTACACTTACTGTTCAAGGAGAAATCCCAGAATACACAGGATCTGTTGCTTGCCTACAAACCAAGAAAAAGAAAGGATCAAAATATATTTGCTGATTGCACATGCAAGGTGAATCTGAAGAGTTTACCAAAATAAAAGGTGGAAATATGTTAATTATTATTATTATTATTATTATTAATAATATTTCACTTTTTTCTGTTATGAGTTTATATTTGCATGTGTGGACCTGCACTACAAATAAGTGTTAGAGGTTTAGCAAAAAAACCCAAAAACATATAAAATTGTTGCCTCTGCTTTTTCGCAGAGTGCATCAATATGGCAATTTATTTTGGAACCCTAGCTTGCATAATTTGAGAAAAGGTTTGGTTTTAACCAAGATACACATGTTTGAATGCACAAATTGATATTCAGTAAAGTCTATTTGCAACTTAAACTAAAATAAACAGTTTGAATATGCCACTTCAACTTCATAATTATGGTTGAATATCTGATGAAAACATAACAGCAACAGAAACATGTAGATATATATAACATAAGATAAAGCTGTTTAGGGCAAATCTCTAAAACACTTGCTGTTTTGTAACAGAACAGATCCTAAGTGTTAGTATAACAAACACTCACTTTTACAGGAATGTTGTTTCTGATTGTGAACTTGATGTTTTCCCTTAGATTGCTAATTGAGAGGTTGGACACGCTGGACCCCAGAACTGGACTGACAACTGTTTGGTTGTCTAAAGATGCATCCTGCAAAATGTAAAAAATAAAAATATAACATTAAATTCTTAGTCAGTAAGGCCAGAAGGCTACCTACCCAAAGTCCCAAGGAGGGAAGCTAAATTCTGTTACTTCTGTTAGAATTTACATTGATTTGAAACAAATAGTATAATAACATGAATACTTGTAATTTAAAATGAGATATCAAACTGAGGGTTTGTTGTAATCGGCTCTTCTTATCTAAGGACTTTGTCATCTATGTCTATGATCTAATCTGAAACCAAAATTAATAAATGACCTATGTAACTGAGTGAAATAAAATCCCACTTTTTTAGTTCTTAAATAACAAGTAATTGATATTTCAGCTGTAGAAATGTACCTTAAATAATGAATTTTTGGTGTAGAATGTGAACTGGACTCTGCTGGCCCACCTCTGTTCAGCATGAGTTAGACCCACTGTAAGAGAGGAAGGTAAGTACACCGAGCCCACAGTAGAGCCTGAACTCTTTAACCAAGACCTGCTGAGATCAGGTAGCTGAGGAAAAATAAAAAAATAAAAGAACACAATAAAGTTACTCAGAAGTACACTATACGACCAAAAGTATTTGGCCACACCTGTGAAATCAGGTGATACAGTCACCGTCTGGGATTGGCCTCATATTTTCAGTGATGGGAATTCTTAAGGCTTTAGCAAACTAAAACATTTAGTTCCTTGTTGTCATTCCAGATTTGGGGACAGTACTTTTCTATTCGAACATGACAGTGCTCCACTGTAAGATCTGGTAAGATGGCGCACCGTGTACATGGCTTGCAATCCACTTCTGCTGATGGTGTTCGGATTATTTGTGTTTTGTTCGTTTTTCATCTGGGACATAAACTCGCTGCTGGTGTATGACCGACAACAGCTTCTGGATCTTTGTTTTTTTTTGCTGCCGATGTCGCTAATTTGGATCATTATGAGCGTACCTCTGGACCCCCCTCCTTCCCCCGCTGCTGGCGGACGTGCCTGTTTACCTCCGCTGCGCTTCTAACCTGCCTGCTCGGAGAGATCGCTCCAGACGCCGGGGAAAACGTGCTGGGCGGCAGGTAAAGCTTAAAGCCCTGTGCGCTGCATCTTCCTCTTCAGCTGGTGGTCATGGTTTCCATCGCCAGCTTCCCGCGTGCCTGGACCAGGTAAACAACGGGAGTTGTCGGCTGGTGCGGCACACGGGCCGACCCAGAAGGGCTGTTATTGAAAATCTGAGGCCACTGGCACACGCTCCCTCCACCACTGCTGGGTCCACTTCGGACAGTATCTGGATGTGTTTGGTCAACGCAAGATCTGTTACCAACAAAACTTTTATCCTCAGGGACTATTTTCAAGAGCACGATTTGGACTTTCTCTGCGTCACAGAGACTTGGATGTCTCCGGGTGAGTCCAGCACCTTGACGGAATTATTGCCACCGAACTGTTTGTATTTTAATGCCCCACGGCCATCAGGCCTGCGTGGTAGTGGATTATTAACAATATTCAAACCAACTTTTAACTGTAAACAATTGTCCATACCAGTTTCCCGCACCAGATTTGAGCTGAGCGTCTTTGAAATCGGCCAGTCACCTTCGACTTTATGCACACTCGTCTACCGATCACCTCGATCTAAGGATTTCATAAATGAGTTTTCTGATTTCTTGGCTGAAATCACACCAAAATATAATCATGTTTTCATTTTTGGGGACTTTAATTTGCACGTGTGCTGTCCTGAGAAGCCCTTGGTTAAGGACTTTTTAAATTTATTGGACTCATTTAATTTAACTCAGCATGTAAACAGTCGCACCCAAGAGCACGGACATACACTGGACCTTGTTTTAACTCATGATATGACTGTTAGTAATCTTGAAATTGGTGATACAGACCACATGCCAGTCCAGTTTGAATTCACCCTCCCCCATCTAACTCCTAAGCCGTGCGCTCCTGCACGTCGCAGCCGGACCATTAAGCACTTCACTGCCGCACATTTCACAGACGTTTATAACTCTGAAATGATAATTCAGCCCCCAGTGTTTCTCGCCACCACTGAGGAGCTGACATCCCAGTTCAACTGCTTAAAGACTCTGGATCATGTCGCTCCTGTTAAAACTAGAAAATCAAAACTCAGAGCAGAACCTTGGCTGAGTGACGTCACCAAGACCGTTAGGCAGAAGTGCAGGAGGGCGGAGCGCAAGTGGAGGAAAGACAGGCTGCAGGTCTCTTTTCAAATACTTAAAGAGAGTTGGCGCTGTTATCAGAAAGCAGTGAAAGCTGCTAAATCCAAATACTTTTTTGATATCATAACCTCAAACTCTCATAACCCACGTGTCCTCTTCTCCACCCTAAACTCTGTTCTCCACCTCACTGAACCATCACCTCTGGAAGCCTCGACTGAGCTGTGCGATAACTTCCTACATTTCTTTTTGGAAAAAATTGCGACCACCAGGGCTCTCATTTCCCCTCCAACTCATGACCCATCCATCCCACCTCAACCTGTAGCTCCTTTTGATCATTTTGAACCCATCACTCTATCTTCTCTAGAGCAGGTCATGTGCAGCTTGAAACCTTCTGGTTCCCCCTTTGATGTGGTCCCCCCTTGACTACTAAAGGAGGTTTTTCCAACTCTAGGTCCGTCCATACTTGCTATTGTAAATAGTAGTTTATCCACTGGCATGGTGCCAAAAACCTTTAAACTTTCTGCTGTCCAGCCTCTCCTGAAAAAAACAAACCTTGACCCATCAGTCATTTCCAACTTCCGGCCTGTCTCCAAACTCCCATTTGTTTCTAAACTACTGGAGAAAATAGTTGAGTCCCAGTTGAAGTGCTTCCTGGAGGGTCATGCCATCTTAGAGCTTTTCCAATCTGGCTTTAAACCTCTCCACAGCACTGAAACTGCCCTGCTGAAGGTTTTTAATGACATTTTCTTAATCACAGATACTGGTGATTCTGTGCTGCTTGTCCTATTGGACCTCACAGCCGCCTTTGACACCATCGACCATGAGATCCTCATTGCTAGGTTGGATTTTAGTTCTGCAGCGGCAGAGCTTAAATGGGTGGTTCCGCAGGGGTCCATCCTGGGTCCCCTCCTAATTTCTTTATACCTGCTGCCACTTGGTGCTATTTTCCAGAAACACAACATGCCTTTACACTTCTATGCCGATGACTGTCAAATTTACTTCCCCCTAAGACACAATGGTACATGCTCTATTCAACCTCTGCTTGACTGCCTGGCTGACATCAGGGACTGGATGGCTTTGAATTTCTTAAGTTTCAATGAAAAGAAGTCTGAAGTCATGTTGTTCCCTCCCAACGGCACAAACACAAACCACTCTATCGACCTCTCTGCTCTAACCCTGTCAGAAAAACAAAGAATCACTAATCTGGGCGTGATAATGGACCCTTCCCTGAAACTTAACAATCACGTAAACATGATTGTTAAATCATGTTTCTTCCAACTGAGCCGGCTGTCTAAACTGAAGCCCATATTGTCCAAAAAGAACCTGGAGACAGTAATACATGCATTCATTACATCTAGGCTTGATTACTGCAATTCACTCCTGTTTGGTATCAGTCAGACCTCCATTTCACGACTACAACTGGTCCAGAATGCAGCAGCCCGATTTTTAACCAGTATAGGCAAAAGAGAGCACACTACACCAGTTTTAGCCTCACTGTACTGGTTACCGTTTCACTTTCGAATCCAGTTCAAAATACTCATGTATGTCTACAAATCGCTGAACAGTTTCGCACCCCCCATCTCTAATTTGCTACAGCCGTATGTCCCACCACGCTCCCTGAGGTCAGCAGACCAGTTGCTCCTCACAGTTCCAGGAACTCGTCTTAAGCGCAGAGGTGACAGGGCCTTCTCTGTAGCAGGACCAAGACTCTGGAACGAGTTACCTCTGTTTGTCAGACAGGCCCCCTCCCTCTCGGTTTTCAAATCCCGTTTAAAAACTCACTACTATTCAGTAGCTTTCAACACCAGATGATCTGTTTTTTGAACCTGTTTGCTTCACACAGGTTAGTTGTCATTGTCTGCATCGTTTTTATGTCTATATTCTGATTTACTTAATTTTGTATATTGCTTTGTGTGTTAACTGTTGTTCTGTCTGTACAGCACTTTGGTTGGACTTGTCGCTGTTTTAAGTACTTTATAAATAAAATGGTATGGTATGGTATGTAAAAGCAAGGCCTCTAAAGACTGTGTGTTAGGGATGCTGTGGTCTCTTATGCTGTACCTACCTACCCAGCATACCTATATTATGCTGTTATGCTATTACCAGGACAGTTGTGGCTGAGTGCATATAGTCGTCGTCCTTCAATGGGAGAGTGGAGGGTTTGATTCCACCAGCAGTCACATGCTGAAGTGTCCCTGGGCAACAGACTGAACCCCTCATTGCCTCCTATGTGTGTCTCACTGAAAATGAATGTGTTCTAAAAGCACTGATTAGTCTTTCTAAAGCTCTAGTAGAGTGCTGTATGAATGGGTAAATGAGGACACAGAAGGTAGTGTAAAGCACTTTCACTATCTTGATAAGATAGAAAGGTGCTATATAAGTACAATCCATTTATCTGGTCTCTTAACTGTACAGTAAAAACCAGGAGATTATGAGTGTGACTGGTTTCTTCATTTGTATTATTCTAGCTGTTCTACTGGTTTTATGATCTGCTCCTTCTCAGTATTAGTTTAATTCACAGAAAAAGCAAGACAAGTAAACAAATGCCGCCTATTCTTTGTCAGTAAGGCTAGAAGGATACCTACCCAAAGTTCCAAGGAGGGAAGCTAAATGCTGCTACTTCTGTTAGAATTTACATGTGTTAGAAACAGATAGTATAAGAACATGAATACTTGTAATTTAAAATGAGATATTAACTTGAGGATATGCTGTAATATAATTGCTTAATTCCAGACAAATCTCTGAGTTACCTGGACATTATCAGTGCTAAAAATGTCCACAGACGTTGTTGGAAAGTTGGTCCCATTCACTGTCCTGACTGCCAGAATCAATGAAGCTGAGGACAGGATCCCCTTGGCCCCTGTGACCTCCAACTTAACACCTAGAGTGTCCACCAAATGAATTAACCTTTTAAGAAATAGAATACAGTACAAACATTATGTGGAGGGAATCTTATTTCAGTGCATGTTGATATTTTCTTGGAAGGGTAGGTTTGCAAAACCTGTTTGCTGATCCAGAAAGAGCTGATGGATTCCCATTCATCAGGTTACTGATAACACTGATGATTTTTAGTCCAAGTGACTGAGAAACAGAGGGACGGTCTAGAAGTTTTGCCAGTCCATCTACAAAATTTGACACCTGAAACAGTCATCATATTAGAATGTATAATGTAAATCCAAAGGAAAGAATTGTCACACTACTTAAGTACAGTTGTTATTTTACCTGAGATGAATTAAGCTGATATGCATTTTGAGTTTTATTCAATAGCTCATTTGCAAATTCATCATCATCTTCTTTGCTTGTAGTTGTTTCTCCTGCAGTGGCTGTAGTTCCAGTACCTTCAAAAAGATT